CGCTGTAGCGCCGTCCATGCCGTACCATACCATACCATACCATAGCATACCCTCCGTATGCATCCCCAGCCGCAGATAGACAGAACCACACCGATCCAACGATCCACCGATCCAACGATCCACCGATCCACCAGGCAGAGTGAGCAAGTGTAGGCGTAATTGTTTTATGTTCGCTCGCTTCGCTACGCAAACTGTTTTTTTGAGGCCCCGTCTCTGTGGACTGGGACTCCGAGTGGGTCTGGGCCTGGGTCTGGGTCTGGGTCTGGGTCTGGTACTCGGTCTGAAGCTGAAGCTGAAGCTGAGGTTTTGGCTCTGCCTGTGTGGATGGTTATGTTATGGAGATGGAGATGGTTTCGGGAAAGCAACAACGACTCCAAACAAATATTACCAGAGTACGAGTACCAGTGCAATATCAAACGCTGACTGAAACTGCGGCTCATGTCATGGCTATGGCTGTGCGCTTCATCGTTCCAGAAGCAACATGCCTTTTAAATTGGCCGACTGCTCCGCCTACCACAGCCCACCAGCCTTTCAGTCATTCAGCCTCCATGCTGCTGCTTCTGCTGCTTCTGCTTATGGCTGCACTTGACTCTAAACTCCGCTTCCATCTGCCATCTCTGCCTAGGCTGGCAATGAGCGCATTTTCAATTTTATGCTAATTAGTTTGGATTTGCTTGGGAATGGCGTTGGAGGAGGAGCTGCAGCTGGAGCTGGAGCTGGCACAGGAGCACTGGAACAGTGGTTCGCTGTTTGCCGGGGTCTGGGGTCTTGAGTCCTGGGTCTTGGAGGTCTGGAGGTGTTGGCCAAGGTGCGACTGCCTGCAGTTGCCTGCAGTGGTAGTTGGGGCTAAACGCCTTCCAGCCATAATACAGCTAAATTAATGAATGATTGCACCCGTTAATAGCTCAAATCGAAAGGAATCAGATCTCGGATTGAATCGAATCGGATCGGATTAGAGTTCAAAGACAACTTGTCAAAGCACTCAACAAACAGCTTTGGAAAGCTATACTTGACCCGTTTTCGACTTATGATATTGCCTATTATATATCATAAACATTTTTGTGGGAACCATAGAGCCGTTCCAGCAGTTTCAGCCTAGAACAGACCCTAATACAGACGAGAGAGACCCAAAGTAATATCTATGTATAATAAACAAATATAAGAAAGTGATATTAAACCACAAAGAGTTAATGGTCGTGGTATTATATTATAAATTTTCCAATATGCTAAAATTAAAAGAAAATTTTGGCTCATCTCTGGCTTATCAAACTTTCGACTCTGCTGGCAATAATACCAGTAAAGTACTATACAACTTACTCTATATACTATATATATGTATCTCCTCTAGATCACAAAAAAAGACATTTTGAAACATAGCAATTATACAGCTGATAAGAACACATATTAAAGATTCTTTACTGGTTTTTCTGTAAGAGAAATCTATATTCTTCAAATTTCCTTATTAAGACACAAAAAGAATACTCCAGAAATAATGTACAGAATAAAATACCGCTATTTATTAGTATTTTCCCTAATATAATATTAATTATAATAAAGATATTTGCAATACCGGAGATTCATTGTCCCCCAGTTCTCTTCCAATGTTTGTGTCCTAAGGAATCGGATCTCCTTAGTAATTCCACGTGAATAAATTTCTGAGAAAAGATATACTCGTACATTTTAATAATATATGGGGAAGAAATTCAATCATATCCTTGTGTGCCACTCAACTACAGCGATTAAATGGGAATTAATTGATTTTTTCAGAATGTTCTAAAATGTGTTTTATTTTAAACTACATTTTTAAGATATCAAGATAGTAATGATAGTAATAGTAATATAGTAATATGATGGTATATGATAGTATTATATCAATATCATTAGAGATAAGCCCCTCCAAGAACTGATTTCCTACCTACTAATCGAATACTTACAAAACTTACCAAGGTATTTGTAAGGATATTTCAAAAATGGGAAACGCTGAAGAATATTTCAATTAAATGATCGAAAAAAAGAGCTCTAAGAGATATGAAGGGATTCGATAGAAACGATAGAAAACCAAATATGTAGAAAGAAATGTGTGACAGAAGGCAAGTCGGATATGGCTAGATAGAAATATAATGAAATATGTTGGAATATATATGGGAAGGCTGGAATGTAATGGATACTACACACAGTAGCTGGTAGCTTCTGTTTTTCTGTCCCTGGGCACGTATTCCTGTGGGATGGGAGATGATGCTGGGATGAGACCTTGGCATTGGGCCCCAGAACGGCAATAACATCAATTTCCTGTTAATGTCCATATTGTGCCTCTCGATACACGGGGGTACAGGGCAACAACAACAACAGCAACGGCAAAGGCAAAAATTTAATTGAACTCAATGCAAATTATGGTGAAGAGAATTTTCCCACAGATTGCCAAAGGTTTTAACGATACTTTTTCTCTCGCATCTTATGGACGTAATGAGCCTTAAAGTCAAACGTAGACCTGACAGCTACCAATGGCTTAAACGTAGCACAGAAGCTCTGCAACTAACCACAAATCACAATAACACCACACCACATCACATCATACCACAGCATGGGCTTGGACCTCAACCTGAGCCCGAGTCTGAGCCTGAGCCTGAGCCTGGGCCTCGACCTAACTGAGAATATGGGAAGAGTCGAGGCAACGCATAATCATTATCACTCAAATTGGGGGCCCCTCTCAATTGGTCGGCCGGCATACGATACGATGCGATATGTATGCATACATCCCCACAGATCCCCCCAGACGATGATGCCACGCCAGACCAAGACCAAGACCAATTATGTGGCGAAAGCCAAAGCCAATGCCAAACCCAAACCCAAAACTGAAAACTGAAAACTCAAAGCCAAAACCCAAAGCCAAAGCCAAAGCCAAAGCCGAAGCCAAAAGTCGAGACCAAACTCCTGACTTCTGAAATGATCAGGCGTATGCATATGAGCCCAGACCCAGGTCCAGGTCCATGTCCAGGCCCAGGCCCAGGCCCGAACCTGAGCCAGAGAGAGCCTTGATGGGATGCGCCGGCACTTAAACGGTCTACTAGCATGAAATGGGCTGGTCCCGAGCCATCTCCCCATCGAAATCCCAATTCGAGTACCGTAACTTAAGCCCCTGAATTAAGTCGCAGTCAAAGCCAAAGCCACAAAGCCCAGAGTACGTACATTTTTCAGCTCAATCGATCGACGGATCGATCTACCACTTGCCACAGAGATTGCCAGTTAGGCGATCAGAGGGCCATCGCCGAGATCCTCTCTCTTTCTCTCTCTGGGGGATGGACACATCACATCCCAACCCCATCCCCATCCTCATGCATGGTGGACTGCAAGCTCGGAGCTCTGTGTTAACGCAAATTGTATGCCCCAAGCAAATTAATCGGCGATCCGTGTGTACTTATACTCGCTGAAACAGTTCTCACACTGATCCCCACTCACAGTCGCAGTCGCAGTGGCAGTGCGAGTGATGGGTGGTCAGCCCCAACACCAAAAACCATTGCTAATCAATTAAATCAATCTCCCTACCGGGAGGCATGCGACAATTTCCAAGACCCTTCATTATCTATTGGAAATTTCATATGTCATGTCTTCATATCCTTTGTCTGAAAATCATTTCTTCGAGAGCAGGAATGTTTTTCGCAATCCGGACATTCATTTTGATAATCTAGAAATTATCTGGGAAACATTTGAATAGAGAAGGCACTTCAAGATTGATCTGTTTTACCTTTAGGAATATTATTAAGAATATCAAAGCTATAGCCAGCAAAACAGGGATACCTTTCTTCGTATGATTCGGATTACATCAAAGTGCCTATTCTATACATAATTTATGTGGAATAAACGGCGAACTCATTAAGAAACTGATGCACATCGATTTGAATAGTCATTAACCTAATATTGTTTTAAAAAAATTAATTTTCATTCGAATATTTATAAAATTGTTTATTGGTAGTGATAGTCTACAAGCTTAACTAACACAATTGTTATTATAAATATGATTTATACAATTTATAAAACACCAAAACAGGTCTTCCTGCCTTTTCCCCAATGCACATTTACGTATGTATTGATTTAGAGGGCATGAATCCACAGTATTCAAAAAATCACAGCTATGTTTTGATCAATACGAATCCTGCCTTCAGTCAGATTCGAATCGCCTCGAATCCCTGCCCTAGCCAAGACAAGAACCACGCAACTTACGCTAGCGTCCTCTATGGGATGGGAAATGATCATGCTTAAAAGCGGTGACACAAACCAGCGCAAACTTTAAGCTCTATGAGGTTTAGTTTTTTGCTAAAAGTTTGTATTCTTTATTCTTGTTTTGTGTGAAAATATTATTTATAATTTACTTAAATACTGCAGTCAAATTGCTGAATTTAGAGAATATTGGATCATTTTTGCCAGGGATCCGCGCGTAACAGCCTTCTGCTGGTGTCACACGAGCCACTTGACGGTGCAGTAATTGCTTCACCTCTTCTAAGATGCAGTCATTGCATTTCAACCATTTATTTACTGAGGTTTGCAATCCTCGGGCCGACAAATATGCGACTTTTGCAGAGGCAGAGCTGCGAAAATGCATTTTACAGACGGAAGGTCGGTATTCGACTCCTCTCTCAGTTTTCACCCGCTTATCACACGCCCTTTTTATTCATTTTTTATATACATAGGTACATAGTTTTGGTTATTCCAACGTGCATACTATGAAAGAACACTTATGTATGTTTTTGTGTAAAAGCTAAAGAAGCGCAGTGCATTTCGACAACAAATCGCGTCGTTCCAAACTTGCGAAGTCAGCAATGGAAGAATCCGTGGCTGGGCCCCATCCAGAATTAGCTTGAGCCCTGTGCAGCGCATTTAATTCGAGCCTAGCATATGGACATATGTATGCGCGACGAATGACCGGCGGCTCCCGGGTGCAAGTTGCTGACGGTGATTTCTGCCTGCCTTTCTTGTAATAAAACGGCAGTTCACATTCGAAAAGGAAGCAGTTCGGAGTGTTCAGGCAGACAGTATAACCACAAATAGTATAAGTGTGCGCCCAGTTTGTTAAAACCCCGCGAGGTACACGTGAATACACCGGAAACACCCACCCACAACCCGACACCGTCCAATAGATTAGAAACACAGTACACAGCAGAGGTAAGGGTAAGTTTCTCCCCATACACTCCTTAACCGTGATGTAGTTTCAGCGGCAAAACCTGACCCCACTGATGTGATACGCTCCGTGCCCCAACCTGCCAAGCCTGAAATAAGTTCATTACAAGGTTTTCCTATACTTTTTGTGCATTTACTTCGATTCTTTTAACGCTTCTTGCGCCTCGTCTTCTTGTGGGTTTTGTGGCGCTGCAAGCTGACTTGCGATTTCCAAGGCTGCGCCTGCGCCTCGTTTTGCCACGTGCACCCACCTCCTCCTCCTGCAGCTGCAAGCCACTGATTTCTCGATATTTTTTTGTGCAGCCTGCGAAGCGTTTGACCAGAAATTGCGCTTAAAAAACAAGTTGCTGAAGAAAAAGAAAAAGAGTAAGTCTATTGAATATACGGCTCGCACACAGATCAATCCAGTGACGAAAATGGACAGCCAGGAAAGCCGCGCAACCTCTTCGTCCGCCGCTAAGAGACGCCACAGCTCCAAGCCAAAGCCGGTGCACGTCTTCGGCGACCAAGTCTTGAAGGACTTGGGCAGTCTCTGCATGAACGAGCTCTACTCGGATGTGTCGTTCTTTGTGGAGGAGCATTGCCTGCCGGCGCACCGTCTGATACTAGCAACGCGCAGCGAGTACTTCCGCGCCCTGCTCTTCGGTGGCATGTTCGAGTCAACGGAACAAAAGGTGCGACTGGAGGCGCCGCTGGATGCATTCAAGGTAATCCTCGGCTATCTTTACTCGGGCACTCTTGCTGTATCCGCACTGGACGTGGATGCAACCTCCAAAGTGCTTGGTTTGGCAAGTTTGTATATCTTGCCAGAAGTCGAATTGGCCCTAGCCAAACATCTGCAGAATAATCTGTCCATCAGCAACACGTGCATGATCCTGGATACAGCTCGTAAATTCAATCTTGCAGAGCTGACCATGAAATGCCTCAAGTTCATGGACAAAAATGCACCCCAAGTTCTGAAACACCAGTCCTTCCAAATGTTGTCCAAGGAATCACTGGAAGAAGTCCTGCGACGGGACACATTGATTGAACACGAAATCAATGTCTTTCAATCCGTACTCAAATGGAGTCGCCACAATCAGGGCGTGGACATTAAATCGGTGCTCTCGCTTGTACGTCTCTCTCTCATTAGTGTCGAAGACCTGGTGCGTGTGGTGCGTCCCTCTGGGATCGTCGAGTCCTTAAAAATACTCGACGCCATCGAGAAACCGATAATCACGTCGAAATTGCCCTATCGTGCCCACGTGTCTCCAGGAGTGGATGTGGCCTTCCATTTAGGGAGCGGTTTTGGTGTCAACCAAAATGAGATCGTTATTAAGCTGAGCTTCTGGTGCATAATCAATAACATCTCTATCGTAGGTATTCAAAATACACTATATAAACTATATACTAAAAACACGTCCAACTGCACCGTGGAGGTCTCTTGCGACATGATCCACTGGGAAGACGGGGGAAATGTAGCATTATCCGCACCCACGCAGCAGGATATCCGCTTCGCCCGCAGGCCTGTTCGCTTCATTCGGATCGTCCATCCAGAGAGTGGACGAAAGGATATTTTAAATGATGTGCTGCTCAAAGCCATTCTAAATAACACCATTCCCTAGACGCATAATCATAGAAAATTGCCATATCTGCAAGATTGCCGTATCTGGATCAAATCTGATTATTTTTATAGCCAGAATGAACAAATCAATTCAGGCTCTTCCTCATTTCCTGTCTGTCACACTCTTCCTGGTGCAGTGTGCGCCCCCTGGCGGAGGGGAGACGTACTGACCGAGTATCGGGAAATAAATGTAGAGTCGCGGCTGTAGCAGCGACTCAACGTTCCTGCTCGTTTTTTTTTTTACAATTTCATCTTTTCGGCGGCAACGGCTATATAAACACCCATGAAAATTCAGAAACTTGAGGAATATGTTTATCTTCTTTCAGAGACAAGAATATATTTCGGGATCAAAATATATATAGAGAAACCCAATAAAATCCATGAATGAGTAAACAAATTTCAATCTGAGAAAAAGTCATTATTAATTAGGTTTTACAGCAGCTTGGAAAACAACATTTTAAAAGGGTATGCAAATTTTCATCACCATCGAACGTCAACACCATCAACAGTATGACGTAGCATTCCGAACACAATTTCATTCCGTAGCAACTGTGTATTTACAGCGTAGTTAACATGTAAAAAAAAAAAATTTTGTAATCCTTATTTTATAAATAATGCAATAAAAAGAAGCACTTAAAATTAACCAATCTTGTAGAAAAATAATTCATCAATCGTATAAAAGTATGTGTTCAGTGCTGAGAGTCCCAGCTAGCTAGTAACATTCAACCGAATATAAAAATCAAGAAATATGATTCTGACCATGGACAGAGAACGATTAACCCATTATCGACACGTGGGTATTTAGGTACATACACGAATATTATAAATCTATACATTTTCAGCGCAATTCTGGTGAAAAATAAGGTGGACATTTGTAGGAGGATGGATAGGATGGATTTACAAGAAGAATAAACAACCAGTATTATTTTCCGCTGTTTAACTTATTTTGCTTACCTGCTTAAATAGAGTGGGATTAAGTGGGTTAAGTTCGCTTTTTCTATCGGTATATTTACAGTATATTTTTGAAATGAGAAGGTATATTTCGATATATTTTTGAGGGTCAGACGGTATGTTCTATCGACAACTCCCCGGTCACACTGCCGAATACTCAAATGTTTTCCAACTTTTGAACTGCGCGGTTCTGGGGTGGTCGTGTAACGTGCGAGCGCTGCGTTTAAATTTCTAAGTGTCTTGTTTTCAGTTTTTGCGTGTTTCGTTTGTTTGTTTGCATTTAGTTATTGTGTGTTTACAAGTGTTTGAAATACATGCAGACATATTCGTGGCGAGCGGACGTGCTTTTGTTGTATTTTTTTTTACCCGCCGTTTTTCATCGTATAGTGCGCGCGTAGTAAATTGTCTTTACTATTGTTTTTTATAATTACCGGAGAAGCGGAGCGGTTGACTGCTTTTTGCAATCTAGCAGTCAAGGAGAGCGTACGAGAGAGAGAGAGAGGTACAATAGGTTTTTTTTAACGTGCCTACGGTTTAAGTTAATGGTCGTTTACGGCGAAATTAATAACACTACAACAACCACCAAAAAACGAGCCTCTGTTGAATGCGTGTAAGAGTGTATCTGTGTGTGTGTGTGGTGATAATATCTGTGTGTCGGCATAACCAAGAATTGGAGTTTTTCTACGAGACCAACCAACTCGGGATGTTCTTATTGGCATTTGTCTCTGGTTGGGTTTGCCGGTGAATGAACCCCAGTACCAGCGCTTACCCTGCCCCGTGTAGCCATAGCCCGTACCCCGAACCCCTCGCCCACTGCCGGAGAACGGCATTAACAAAACAGAGCTGTTCTGCGGCGGCCTCAAAATGGTGGTTTGTGGGAGAGGGAGACACTCAAAAACATTTTCGAATTATTAAACCAACTGTGCGCAACGGCATACTAAAGCCGCTGCAATAACAATAACGGTAACAAAGGCAAACGAAGAAAGCCAAACCAAAAGCAGAGCAGAAGGAAAGAGGTGCAGGGAGCAGGGAGCAGAGCGGAAGAGTGTGGGCAGCAGCGCTACAGCAGCCAGAGCAAAGCGGTGCACAGAGTAGAGGCAGAGCGGAAAAAGCAATGACTTTCAGGGGGTAGAAGGGAGAACCGAGGAGGATAGACAGCAGCAGCCAAAGCAAAGCGGTACAGAGCAGAGCAGCGATGCAGCAGCAGCAGCAGCAGCAAAGCCATGCCTGGAGTGGAGCGGAAGAGATTAGGCAGCGCTGCAACAGCAAAATCAAAGCCATATAGGGAGAAGAGCGGAAGAGAATAGAGCAGAGCAGCGCTGTACCAGCTCTGCAGCAGCAACGCCGGCTGCAATTTAATGTCTTTCACAGTTGCTTTCGACACCCTGGCACTCGTAAAATACTAGGGTATATGCAGCAGGAAGCGGGAAGCGATTTTTGCTCTGTGTTTTTCTACCGATGCACCCAATATTATTTCCGAGCGAATAATAATTTCAGAATTAGGAGTACAAGACCTATGACATCTGTAGTTTCCAAGGGTTAAAGTCCATAGGTCCGTGGGTGTCCAGTGAGTAACGGGTATCGTTTCGTCTAGACTCTCAGTTATATAGTTATAGCGTTCTCTCTCTAGTTCTTGTTGTTATTCTCCCAATGCATCTTCCGCTGCTTTCCAAGTGCATACATGTACGACTGTGCATATGAGTGTGTGTGTGTGTGTGTGTGTTTGAGAGTGTTTGCTGTGCTTGGGTTTTTCCAGCCTCTCTCAATCTCACACCATAGTGTGTCACTGCTTGGAATTCAAATTAGAATTGGAGCGGATCCACTGTGTTTGTGTTTGCGTTTGTGTGCGCTCGCCAAGATAATTGTTGCTATCTTATCAGAGAGAGGTTTAATCTTTTTGCAATCTGCTGCTGCTGCTGCTGCTGCTGGCAGGCCCCAACAGCTGCCTATTTAGCCAACTAACTAACTGCCTTTTCTAAATATATTCAACAAATATGGATAAAATATACTATAGATACCTGTATGTATGTATGTACTAGATGTATGTGCATGTGCGAACTGGTGCTTAGTCAGACGGGGGCCATGTACTCGTATATTAGCTGTCTTCAAGGCGCGTTTTTCGGCGTGGCATAACGATGACGTTGCCCAGCCTGACACCCGATACCCCCTTAACCCATAACCCATACCGGTTTAAGGATTCTTCCACATAAAAACATACACACATACAGACACTGGCAAAGGGTGTGCCGAAAAAAAGCTTGTGCACTTCCCATGTATTTGTTTGCCGTGAGTCGTCTTAAAGCGTCTTATGTCTGGAAAGACAAGCCATACACAACAGGCCTAAGCATGTATGTGTGTGTGTACATACATACATACAGATGAGGGCAACATAATAGTGGTCCTACCCAGGGTTGGTATGGTATGTGTGTATGGGATGGGAATAACAGTTCTCTATCCATATCAAGCTAAGAATTTGCAATACGATCAAATTTTCGCTTGGGATTGGAAAATGTCTTAAAACTTGTTAAGGAAACATGTATGAAAATACTCTGTGTCTGTTTGAGAGGTTAAACCCTAAGATTGCATGACTAATGAGTGGTATATATGTTTCTGTAAATATTTGCTCAGATGTCAGAGACACTTAACATCTTCGCCGCAGCTGTGAATATGCGAGTATCTTCCCAGAAGTTTGTACTGACACATACAAATGTTTTCGGTTTTCGTACACAGCTGTTCACACACACACACACACACACACACATCCACCGTGATCGTGATCGGTTATCACACATTGTCAAGGTGAATCTGCTGTGTAGGTGTGATGGCTTTTTGTAATGTGCTAATACACGCAGCACAGTCGAAATGTTATAACGAAATATGTATCATGATATATGACTGTATGGAACCGAAAGCCCCCGCCAAGCAGCAGCAACCTCCAATCACACACAAACACACACACACACACACACACACATACTAGTGCTTGCAAACACGTGAAAAAGACCCTCACATGCCAGTGTAATCTCCATTCCATACTATTCCATTTCCAAATTGAATATCGCTATGTACTCGAGTACAACACACTGACGTGTGCAGCTCTGCCCCACTAAATGCTACAGTAAAAGCTCTCTTTGGGGGGCGGATGGCGATCGATCTCTACAGAGAGCCCTGTAGAGCCCAGCGAGCCTTCACTGTACCCAAATATTGTTCTTTTGTTGTTGTTGTAATTATGGAAATGTGAACAAAGTCTAACTGCCGGAAAAGTCACACACAGCGTTTTTGTTGCTTTCATTTGTGCGAATACGATTACGTTTAATTTTTTGGGTGGGCTGTGCAGTGGGGGGGGGGGGGGGGAAAGGTCTCTCTTCCTTTGCCCCGTTTCGTGTTACTTCGGAAAACTTGCGCAACATTTTACGGCGAAGCGGTACATCAACCCCAGGGCCCCGCCCAGCGGCAATGCAGAGTGAGAGAGGGAGAGAGGGGTGCAGTTCGCTTAGCCGACAACCGGCAGCCGGCTGCTGTAAACGCAATCAAATCAAATGTCAATCGTCAGCGGCCAACGGCAACGGCAGCCCCACCGCAGAGGCCAGACAGGGAGACAGCCACCGGTCTCCGTCTCCGTCTCCGTCTCCGACTCCGATGTCATAAAACTGTTTGTGCAAGCATCTGTGTAATAATTGCAACTGAATTTCCCCCCAGCAAGCGGTACGAGTACGAGTACGAGTAGTTGCTCCACTGAACAGCAGCAGCACCGAATCACACCACACACTCGACACGAGAGTGAGGAGGGCGACCCCTCCAGGGAGTAGGGTTGAGTTCGGACGGTCGAGTGGTTGGTTGGTTGGCTGGCTGTTTGGTAGGTTAGTAGTTCACCTGTTGATTCCAGACCGCAGCTCGGGCCTCGTCTCTGGTAATTCGATACACATAAACCCGTAACTGTACCCGTACCTACCCACAAATGTACTTATCATCAGCATTTGAGCGATAAATTTGTGGCAAATTAATGTACGATGTACGACCATGAGAAAAACAATAGATCGCACAGAAAATATGTAAATTTCTCCACTCTCCACAGACTACCATTAACTATTTGTAAATTCCCCTTTTGTATCTATTCAATTTCAATGTGCGTGACATTAATAATGGTGTACAAGTTTTCAAGTTTAAATATGAATAAGACCTTTGGAAATATGTATAAGAGTATTAAGAATCTGAATAATTGCTTGTAATACAATTCGAAAAACAATAAAACAAATCCATCTAACTACATCTTTAATGGTAGATATAAGGTAGATATTGTAGATACATATAAGAGTGCCTGCTTTATAGCAGCGGCGGGCATGCTTTTGTAACGTACTCATGCACACGCCATCTATGTTGTTTGCTGATATTCTCGGGGATCAATCTACCGCGGGATGTCCCTGTACATCTATCTCTATCCAGTATCGTTTTGGGTGAAAAAATATCCTCTAAAGATATAAAGAGAGAGTAAAATATATCCAAATGAGATCAGGTATTCCCTGATGGCAGGCACCACTATTATTTCTACCTCCATTGTGCCACAAACACATACATACGTATATGTGTATATTCGCTGGAGTTTTAACGGTGCTTTTGCAACATTGTAGATACCCTCGTATCTGTATATGTATCTGTATCTGTAGCTATGTGTGTGTGTGTGTACACTTCTGGTGCTTCCAGGCATTGCACAATCTCCACAAAACAGCACAGATACTCGCAATCGTACCCGTACGACTCGTGAGTTATCCATGAAATGAAACACAAGAAAGACTCCCCGACTCCAAGCCCCCGACTTCTTCTGCAACTTCTTTTTGGGGCCTCCATGGAACGACGCGGCGTACAACAAACGCTTTTCCATCTGAGGCAAGCGAGTGACGTCATGCGGTGTATGCGCTATATGATGCACGATTGAGCGAACGGTGGATACAGTGGACGCGCGATGACGTGTACCACTCACATCGCATCGAAACACACAGGTTACAATCAGTGGCAGTGCCGCCGCGGGACCGGACCCGGACCCGGGCGGCCATTTATGGTGCGATTGTTAAAATCAATCAATATCGCCGCATCGTATGGCACCCGGGGACTCAGACTCGGACTGGGACTGGGACTGGGACTGGGACTGGCGCACTAAGCATTTGATGAAGGCAACCTCCCCAGTCGCTCAGTCGCTCAGCCGCTGCTCAGATTTATAGTCTAGTAAAACTGAACCCAGATAGTGCAAAAAAAAACTGTTTGACATACCCGTGATGGGCTTTGACAGCAGACATAAACAGTGAACGCTTGATAAGGCTCATTAGTTATGGCCAATGATTTCTCAAGATCATTATGGCAGGAGCAATCTTTAATGGCAGGTACTTCAAAGATATTTTTGCCCTATCGAACAGAAAGAACTCCCAATATTTATGAAATATTGTAGGAACAAATGTAGATATAGAAACGTGGTAGAAATCGCAGCCAGTGTCCACTGTATTACACCGC